TGGTTGAGCGGCGCGGGGGGGGGGGGTGTCAGTGATCACGAACATCCCCACCATCCCCAAGAGGAGGCTATTCTGCAACCCTACTTTTTTCTCCAGCACACTGCAAAGTATCTTGAGGGAATCACTGCACCTATTCTTGTTTCAGGTGCTCTCTGTAACGCAGAAAATTAGCATTATTAGCGATTCCAAGTATTCTCAGGTGACACGTACAACATGTAAACTACTACTGTTTCTCTGTAAAGTATCTGTCTTAGTGAATTAAGGAGGCTATTCTGCAACCCTACTTTTTTCTCCAGCACACTGCAAAGTATCTTGAGGGAATCACTGCACCTATTCTTGTTTCAGGTGCTCTCTGTAACGCAGAAAATTAGCATTATTAGCGATTCCAAGTATTCTCAGGTGACACGTACAACATGTAAACTACTACTGTTTCTCTGTAAAGTATCTGTCTTAGTGAATTAAACAGACTTGCAGAACGTGGCACCCACGTTAAAAGCAACAGCCTTCCCTTTGTAGAGGAAGAAACTGCTGAGGTGGAGTGAAAGGAGAGTAGGAGATGCAACGTTTCCTGAAGTAAGAAACGCTCTAAGTGCAATATTATTTTACGCACAATTGGAGGCAGCTCAAATTTGACTATGCTCAGATTTCTAAGAAGCTATTTTTGTTGATTTTTTTCTTCACACTGAAAGTAGACTACTAACTAAACAACACTTCATATTCTGTTTTATCTTTCTATCTGTTCTCCTCTAATGGCAGATTTAAAGCTATCACTTCGACTTTGTCATGACGTATCTTAAAAAAACATGATATTAGCTTGAAATTGGTGCCAAGAAGCACCAACAAGGGCAGAACAAAACAGAAGAGTAATGACATGCTCACAAGTTTCCCAGGAAATATGTTCTCGGGGCGGGCTAAATGAGATTAGCTGTGGAGTACCACGCTTGATGATAGTTTTCAGAATTCGTTATGGACAAATATGAGCCCACTTAGGGAGCTGTGAAGTAATTCTTCGCCTCCTGGTAAGGAGGCTGTGTTTCCCTCAGGAGTGTTCTTGAAGAACAACATCCCTAAGAGGATGAATCTCAGGTTTCTCAAGTCCGTGCAGCACAGAGGTTATCATCTCCGCAAAACCGCAGTTTCAGCTATTCCCACATTTTCTTTCAGAAATTATAAGGAATTGCTTTAAATTACTCTTAGGTAAATAAGCAAGCCAGGAGATTAGAGACAATCAGATAATGCAAAAATATCAGTGGAAAATAACTGATTAAAACATGAATTATATTTTGAGATTTCTGTATATTGTATTCTCTTCAGATTTTCAAAGCAAAAGGTACACAGCAACATTTATTCCAATACATTTTTAAGCACATGCAACACTGGTCTCCTATTTGTACATTAATTTCTAAGGCTGTCCAGGAACCTTTACATTAAAAGTGTACAAGAACTCACACACACGTGCATGTATTTCTTCTAACATTAGTCCTGCGGAAAACTTCGATTTTACTTCAAAAATCAAACGTCAGTTCTGCGTGTAGATCTGAGAAATAATCTACCAGCTGTACTGAACTAATTCCTAATCTAAATACCTTGCACTCATCTGCAGCTTGGATTTGAACTACCCGCTGCTAAGCAGATTGTAATGTTTGACTGGAATTGTTCACAACAGTCCAAGGTTTGCAGCAGTGCAGACAAAAACCTGTGTACTCATAAAAACATGCTTGATGCAGATGAAAGCTCGTGGGGATGGTGACATTTAAAACATTAAAATTAATAAAACATAATCACGTATAAACTAGAAAACACATTACAGTTCTTTAAAGATTTCTCATTCATTATCTATTTTGTATAATTACACAATCAGCCTTTCTTTCTGGCTTAAATATTCAGGCCAACTTGCAATAGTAAAAAGTTTGCTAAAATGACCTCTTGTAGAAAGAATGACTGTCTTTAAAATAAATACATATTTTCAAAGATCTTGTATTGCTCTGTGACTATGATGTCCACCAAATTCCACTAGATGTCAGCATTATAAAACAAGTTCGTCAGCTTGCTTTATCACTGCTACCTTGTCTTTGAAATACAGTACATGTCAACTAAATAACTGAGCATATACTTACTTATGGTGGTAAATTCAACAACAAAAAAAAAACCCAGTCTCATTCCATTTTTTTCCCTTAGTTTACCTGATTTGATTAAATCACTTCAAAATAGTCTCATGCTGCAGAAAATGTTTCTAAATAATATGTAAATCATTTCAGTTTTTATAACCATTTTTGCTTATGTAGTGATACGGACTTCTCACTTCAGGAAAAAAAAAAAAAAACCCTACAAACTCCTTTGACGGGGACTGTAACAATACCCCGAAGATAAAGCTCTTTGTGTTAAATACAGTATAGTTGTATCCAAGTTGAAAATTTTAAGGCACATTATTTTTTTTTAAACAATAGGTTCTGAAGTATGGTTACACTCATGCTATTGTGGATGTCCTGTCACAGCTACTATTCATTTCATGGTTTTGTACAAAAAGAATGAAAGACCACAAAATGCAGGAAAAATACAGACAAACACGAACAAGACACAACACAACACATTGATACAATGTACACCGTAACAGCAACGAGCAAATCTTCTGATTCCCTTGAAGAGCACTGACAACGGTAAAGCATTCTTTGTTTTGCACTGTAAATACCTGACTGACTTGTTTGGACACACAGATCTTAATCACTGGATTACCACAACACCTGAACAAAAATGAAAACTAATTTTTCTGATATCTTTCTTGTCAAAACAAAGCTGCCAAGTAATTCTTATTGGAAAAAATACGAAAGAAGTAAAAGGTAACTACAAAAAACATGAGCTAGAACATCTGAGGAAGAGAATACTAGTTAAGGAACATAGGAAACAAAATGGCAAAATGGTAACAGTTCCAGGCATTTATTCCAGTATCTTAAAAAACAAAAATTAAAAAAAAAAACTTATTCATCACCATTTTAAGATAGAAAAACAAATTTTTAGATTAGGCCAAAGAAATGTGAAATGTTTCCTTTTTGCTTTTTCGCTCCATTTTAAGCCTCTTTTATTCACAGTACAGATACACCTTGCTGGTACATTTTTAGTCACAAGATGCACAAGTTCTGATAAGGAGTGCTGTTCTCTTCTCTCTGTAAACCAGCTCTTTCCTACAAAAACTGGTCACCCCCCCCCCACTCCCCCTGACTTCTCAGTGCCTCATTTGAATTGCAGAATAAATCCACAACTGAGTGCCTTGTATGAGCAGCAGTAGTAGTAAGTTGAGAGCATGCATTTCCCCCCCCCGCCCTCACTCTCAGCCAAGACAAAAAAGTGATGATTATTTGAAATCCACCTCAATACAAATAGAAACATATTTTCTACCTCTTGGCTGAATTTTTTTTCTTTTCAAATTTCACATATGAATCTGAAATTCAGTAAATGAACTAATATGTTCAGCATAAAGGATGCTTTAACCAAAAAAAGAATAAATAAATAAGCAAATATTTTTCCCAACAGTACATCAGTTATTTTGCCTTAATTCTATCTATGCTTTGTTAAAGCATTTTATACTCTTTAATACATTAGATTGCAAGTTTGGCAACTTTTTTTTGTTGTTGCTGTTTTTAATAAAAATTCAGACAGTGTTCTCTGTTTGCAATCAGAACCACAACCTTAGTGCAATATTATATTTATTTCTTACAGTAATTTTGGTTGCCATACAAGAGTATTAAGGATTGGGGAAAAGTGCAAGTTACAGGAGCTTGATTTTTTAATCAGTTGAAATAAGAGGAATTAAAGCACAAAAATTACAGCAACATAGATAACGTGAACACAAGTTGTTACACAAACTATAGCGCGAAACATATTAATATCTAGAAAAAAAAGAAAAAATGTAATGGAAAAATTATCAATATTTGTGGCTCATACACATAATCATCGCCAGATCAACTGGGTAATGCTTTTTAAGAACGGAGGAAAAAAAAAATCACTATTTTTATTAACTTAAGTACCACAAATAATTAACTTTTGTGATATGTAAATTCTGTAAATCAACAGTCACATCTAGTCATTTTATAATATATGAATTAAACTTAAAATGTTCTCAGACACCCAGGAAAAGGAGTCTGTGCAGTTATACACAATTTACATCTTGTAAGATTTTGGTATTGTATACACAAATATTACAGAAACTAGGCATGTAAATGCAATTTATTTAAATTACAGTATATAAACAAAAGTTGATCCTAAAACCCAGAATATCATAACGTATTTCATAGATCTCTAACAGCTTGTTTTTCACTATCATACTAGCATGAAATAATAGGGTCTTCTCTCTCTCTCCCCCCCCCCCCCCACACATTTCAACCTGTTCTCATACAATACTCGGAGGCAACGTTGTATCTGTTACTATTGCTTTCTGCAGCAACATCATCAAACAGAGCTAGAGACCAATTCATCTTGGCAGAGGTGTATTTTATTGGTAAAAGTAGGTCCTTTCAGGCCTCGTTATGTTCAGCTTGTAAGCCACAATGTAAAAATAAACTATTTATTTCATTAGCTCTTCAATGTTTTAAATCTCTTTTCTACGAATTGTATAGTACCTATTCTTTCCGTACCTGAAAAAAAATACAGGAGCACGAAACATACCTGTTTAAGAAAGGGATTACCATCAACTGTAATTTACTGTGTATGTCAGCACTCATTAAACTTAAATTCAACAGTAAGGTTGTGATTAAAAAGCAGCTTAAAAGTCAACTTCTACATTTTCTTTTACTACCATATTTTCTAATGTATTTCCTGGCACATATTATAGAGGTAATATCAACCGTACCCAAAGAAACAAAATGAAACAAAATAAAAAAAAAAGAGAGAGCATGGCATTAGTGGTTTATTTACTGAATTCTGTCATATCACCAAATGGAAGACAACGATGGCTAAATTACCATTTTTACACGTCTTAAAGATGGCCTCAAGTTGCCTGTATCGACTATCTGAATGAGACTGCCATTTTCTACAACAACTGTGGAAAAATTCAGTACTCTTGGAAGTAGAATGCCTTAATACTTGGTTTTTATTACAAGGTTACTTGGAACTTTCAAATACAAATATAGCGTAGTAACAGATCTTAAGTCAAAAGATTTGTTGTTCCATAAAGGGGGCAGGAGGCTAAATATGTTGCTTTTTATGCGTATCCAATGCGTTGGTAACTATAACCACTTTTGAAGAAATAGTCATCCTCCTTTGTAGAAGTTCTAGCAAAGATAGAAAATATAACACAGCTCTGCTGGTTCAGATGCATCCAAATGAGGTTGAATTTTAAAAAGGTCAAGACTTTATAATTATTCCACAGAAATAGTATTAAACCACAAAAGTTTTTTGTTGTTTTAACTTTCTAGCACTGAAGTGGCACAAAGGCTGCCCAGTAGACCAGCCACTTATTTTCTTAAAATATTGTGCTTATAAACTATCTGTACAACTATTTAAACTTGCAGTAAAGAAAGATATTTAAAATGCTAAACCTTATGTACTCATACTAGGGCTGTTGCAGACCTAATTAGACACTTGTTTGTGAGCAAAAAATAATCACAATAAAAAATTAGAGATAGGCTGGACCATATCAAGGACCATAGCAAGGAAAGAAAGTTCAGGTACCTTGCAAAATGTAAGGGAACCTGAAAGTACGGTAAGTAGGCAGTCTAGCCGTCCACGCACCACTTACCCACCTGGAACATGTTGAATATTATGTTAATATTAAGACCTACAAAACTCACAGATATTTAAAGGTGTTAATTACAAGGGGAGGTCAAACATGCAGAGAGAGACTTGTTAACTTAAAAAAAAAAAAAAAAGTCAGATTAAAAAAAAAAATCTGTGCGTTTCCCCCCTGCTGGCTGAAGTCTCGGGAAAGGGCAGGCTCTGGCAGCCGCTTGCGGAGCGGCCGGGGCCACGCGGAGCCCTGTCTGCCCACTCCGTGGCAGGGGGGGCGGCCCTCTCCCCGCACCTCGCCGCAGCTGCGCAAAGAAATCACGGCAGGTCGGGGGGAAGCCGCCAGCTCCCTGCTGAGCGCTCAGTTTGCTGGCCTTGACAAGAAGCCAGTATATGTTAAAAATGACAAAAATGAGAAACTGGATACCTACCCAATTCTCCTGGCCCTTGGCACACTTGCATTCTGAGACACTGCAGACCTCTTTCCACCTTCGTATTAGCTTTTTCTACCTTTTTCTGTTTTTTTTTTTTTTTTTAAAACCTGAAACATTTCCACTTCCACTAACAGGCCGATATCCCTCTCTTATTGAAAATACTGGCAACCTTCCCATGGATTTCAATGGGAACATTCATCTATCTTTTCATTTCTTCTTGACCTGATGTTTAAAATGGCTAAGCACTTACGACTCACTGAATTAAGCAGTCTCTCTCGGGGTTCAGCATATTTGAGTATCTGACTGTGAAGTCTAAAAGATGCATCTGTACATAAACCCAAATTGTTTCTGGCTTGTAGAGTTCACGTTGCGCCTTCGCAGTAGTTCAGCTGGTTGAAAACTGGGGGTCTCAGGTTCAAACTAGCTTCATTTTGTTGTACCTCTAAGGGAGCGGTCTTTCTCAGTTTTTATGCAACTCTGCATCGTCTTACAGGTCAAGTCAATGGAGCATGTTATTGAACTTGTTCTGCCACCTTGGAAGAGCACTAAATATAACTGCAGAAATAAAGAAATACCAAGTAAAACAGAGCAAGGTTACCTTTGAACTAATTCCAGCAAAACAACCAGCTTCACTGCTAATAAATCAGAGAGCTAAACTAGTTGAAAAACAGTAATGTGAACTTCTGTACCTGCCTTAAAATTGCGCCTCTAATACTAACAAAAATGGTTTAAAAAGGTAACGAAGCTTGTGTCTCTCCTCCTAAAATGAATTAAAGGTTTGGGAAGGAAACCTGTTAGGAGACTGAATGAACGTCAAGAAGTGAATATAGTGCTTTTGAATTTAAAAAGTGAAATGCTTGCAGTTCTAAATGGAAAGAAAATTGATATGCAATGGTTCCAGCAGAAGGGCGTTATCAATAGATGATAATATTTTTGAAGTTAACAACTTTTTTTCTCTCTCTCTCTCATCTCCCCACAACTTTGAAATAGAATGGCCCCACTCACGTAACATGTTTAGATTTATGTTTGGGCATGTAGCATACAGTCTGCATTACCTGAGTACCAGAAATTAAGCACCCCCCTCCCCCACCCTAATTTGGCTGGCACTCGCAGACAGACAAGGCATTTGGGGTATTTCAGTACCAGCCCATCTCTAGTTATCAACAGAAGTTTGTGAGGCAAAATAGCTATTCTTATCTGTCCAGCAGCTGTTTCAGAGCTCTTTCTATGTTCATTCTGTGCCCAACTCTAGTCACTCCAAGGTCTATCAGATCTTCCTTTTGTAGATTTGGTAAATGAGTGCCATCTATTTCATTGTCCATAAATGTTTCTTTATGTTCACCTAAGTTTAGACTTTCCAACCAATCTGCCACATCTGGTTTAGTCCACAGGTGGACAGGCTTAGTTGTAAAAGGCTTATTTGAGATTGGCTGTTGTAATATTGAGGGAGAAGGAGACCTGCTGCGCCCTGTGGTCAAGCCAAATAAGTCCCCAGAGGGGGGCTGGCTGGGTAGGCTAAATACATCAGACAGAGTTGGAGAAGGAGATGAAGCTGAAGCAGAAGCAGTCAGAGGAGCAGGCATGATGTCTTTATTAATCTCTGTAGGTGAAACCACAGGGCTTGGAGCATGCCTTGCTCCTGAGGTCCTACTGTCATAGTCTGGAGACCTGCTCTGCAGTGTGATCGGCTGGCTGGCTCCAGGGCGGACAGTGAAAGTGATTGTTGTACTTCGGGTACCTGAGACAGTACTCATGACTTCTGTGCTCCTGAAATTGTAAACAGACGAGAAAAATTAGACACATCTGCAACCAGCTGAAAGGTCATCCATATCAATACATGGTAAATGTGGATTTGGCATGGCACTTCTTTTTTTTTCCCCCCATGTGAGCAGTATCAGGTTGAAACTACTCAGAAGATGTCATTAAATCTCTCCCATTAAAAAATCATCAATGGTAAGCCATGATTAGAAACAAAACCTTTGTTTGTGAGCAGGTCAGAAAAACACCTTCCAGAGCATGTTCTTTGACAGGCTACAATAAATTAACTCTCAGTTACATGAGAAACACCAGGTATAATGAGCACAGAGGCCCTTTGTGTTGCCCAGGAAGTACAAACAGGAGTTGATCTTCCTTTCATTGAATGGGAGGGGTGGGAGCCTTCCTTTCAGCTTTGGCCTACCAGTTTTAAACACCATAAGATAACATAGCTAATAATACTGTAGTTATGGAAAACATTTGAAGCATGTTATTAACTTGGATTTCGGACACTTAGGCGTCTACCTCTTTGTGAATTTTAGGGTATATTTGAATTCCTATTCACTCACAGAACATGCTCCAGAGCTCCTCTTATTGCCTTTTCTGTTCGGCAGGCCTTCTCACGCTTTCAAAATGAAACAGTCTTGCTGACGAGGGTTTATAAAAGGACTCGTGTGGCTTTTTACACAGAAATTATACTTTGGTAGCTTCACTACAAAAGTTAGGAGACAAAATCTTAGTTACTGTGTATGCCCAGAGGTGCTGTAAGTCGTGATCAAGCCACTGGCACCTCTCTCTTGCCTAACGGAAATTTGAGATTACAAACTCAGCATGCACAAGACTTCCTGCTCAGATTTAGAAGCAGAAGACCAAGACTTGAGTATGCTCAAAATGCTCCTCATAGCCTCTGCCTCTCATGGGAAAACACTGCCAGTTAGTGTGTCTACTTCAGGGTCTCCAGCTGAACCTTTAGGTGCCTTAAACTCCAGAGTTTTTCACTTTAAAAATATCCTACCAACTAGAAACCTTCGGCTAACTAATTTCAGGCACTTTCAGTCCTAAGTAGGGAGCCCAGGCTTTCTGTATCATCCCTGAAGCGATGCCAGCAGCTCCAGAAGATGATCTGGAGCAAGCCGTAGTTGTGTTTCCAACTTGAACACCAAATGCCTGCTGTATCTTGGTGCTAGGCCGTCCCCAGTCCCAACCTGTCCTCCCCCTGGCAGGACTAAAGATGCCTTTGGTTTGCGATGGCAGAAACAAATGCTTTCATTAGTAACGCAGTTTCACCACTGTGCACAGAAGATTTTATGGGGCAGCCAAAGAAAGAGTATGGCTGGGGGGTATTGTGGAAGAAACTAGAGTGTCTGCCTGAATGACTGCTTCACTATTTTGGGTTAACAGCTGCTAAGCGAAATACCAAAAAGGGTCCATGTAGCAGGAATCAGACCTACACCTGCTCTCCTTGTGGTATGTCCCTCACCACTAGATATGCTTTGTAGATCATACCCCCCCTCACGTTCCCCTGTCCTAGGGAATCAGGAAGCCTTGCTCCCTCCTTCTGTGACCCCAGGAAGCAGGATATTGTGCGCAGGGTTAGCCTGTCTCACCGAACAGGGGCCCCAGTGCAACGCAACTGTGAACTCCCACAGGCGTGACTTGAATTTGGTCTTCTGCTTCCTGAACAGAGTAGTGGTTAAAACTTTAACTAAAAAAGAGGGTGGTACCCACTTCCTCATCAGCTGCCCTAACCTGCTCCCCCTAATCATCCTTTGCCAAAAAGAAAAAAACGTAGGCAGCGAACCTGAGGCGATGATAATGAGCTATTAACTCCTCTCTCTCATAGCAACTTTACTGCAGCCACAGGTACTCTCCAAAGTCCTGGTAGTACTGAACTGGAGGTCTCCCTCAACATTTCCTTGGTTTGCTGCTGGCTGTCATGAATCCTATTTCTACCTGCTCCATGTACCATGCTTGGGGTTTCGGCACATAATTCAGGGTAGAGAAATCAAGAAATGCCACAAACCTAGGCAACAGGTAACTTCGAGCACTGCTGCACTGAGATTCAGAGCACGTTCGTATCATAGTGAGTATCTTCCAAATAAAACTCCAACACTCCGTCATTAGAAAAGCTCTAAGAATAACTCTCCGGAGAATATACATGCTAGTTATTCACACAAACAATCCCACTGACTTCCCACAAAGTGTTCCATATATTTCAATGGGACCAGGGGGATCCTTTTGAGGGCTGAAATATGAGTACTTCACTGAAAACACAGTAGGAGCAATACTTTTAGCACTTATGTCATTGTAATTTTACAAAGAAAGGAAACACTTGGCAAGGTTTTTGAGTGCTTCCTGTGATTTGTTTGGAGCTTAATGGCTCCCATTGTCTTTCAGGAGGGGAGGTAACATTCTTAAAAATAAGTCTGTGTCAAGAAACTATTAAATGCTACTAACCAAGGGGAGCAAATTATTTCTACCTACTTTAACTTAGCCTTAGGAGTCTCGTGTACCTTAATAAGGCATGATATCATTTTAAATCAACAAAAAAGTGCTTTGAAAGAGGTTGGGATAATGCTCTCCTAGTTTTTGCAAGAAGGGCAGGAAGAGTTCTATGTAAATGTGGGCTTCTCCCTACCTCTGTATTTGCAGGCAACCTTTTATTTAACTTTCCTGTACTGCAAGTATCAGAAAATACCGGTTTGTATTCATATCAATTGTGGCAATACCAAACAGATGATGAAAATTCATCCTCTATTATGCTAGACGCAGGCAGATCACTTCTGTTACTTGACCAGCAACTCTGGGTTCAGTGTCCACCTCCCACTTTGTAACTTACTTTTGTGCTTCTTCTGTGTATCGTTCCTTTCACAGATTCCCTGTACATCCTTGTCCAGGAAACCATTGTCACTGTTCCTTTAAACAACTCATACTAAACCACTAACACAAAATCCCAAAAATCAAACTGTGTGCTGTCATTTTAAGCATTCTTTAGACTAGTGTTATCTAACCTCCTCAGTCCCACAGGCAGTAGCACTGGGTGAGCAATGCAACACGGGCAACATTGTACTTTGCTCTTCCTGTCAGCCTGGATCACAGTAATAACTGCTTGTGGCTACAAGCAATATTGAAAGATCTGTAGGCATCTTGCTTTTTTCAAGCCATGGGTTCAGGACTACTGACTAATGAAACAGAACTCTGAAATTATGATAAGAAAAATATTTGTTTGAGTTGATGAACGAGATCGAAACATCAGCTCACTTTATAGACACATCAGTACTCAAGCTATGATAAACATTAACCCTTTTATGGCACCCTCATTTCACAAAGCTCAGAGCACTTCACTAACAAGAGCAAATTTACTCCTACAGCAACACGCCTTCTCTGAGAAAGTCATTAACGCGACTGCACACCTGGGAACACACACGGCCCGAACCACTGATGTGTCCCCGCTAAAGCCACTGCTGCAACAGCAGTGCTATTTAGGCCTAACTTTAAAGTAACTAGCTGGAAGATTAGGGGCCAATCTAACCACAGCAGCGAGGGGTCACTGCTGCCTGCATCATTATTCAGCAGCCTGTGTGAGGAAGTGTGTGCCGAGCTCCACGGTGCCATGCTTCAGCTGGCACCGGCACCAGCTCCACATGCCTTTGTGGTACGGACACAGCCCTCCTGAAGGTCACGCAAGTCTGCCAGAACCAACAACAGCTTTTCCAGATTTCCAGCCCAAAGCCCAGGACTCATTTTTCCCTTCTTTTTTTTTTCCCCTTCTTTCACTTGCCATGTCAACTCCAGTGTTACCCAGACTGCTGTACTGTGGTTGTAATTCAAGAAAAACACACACCTTTGTGTAACTCCTAGCTGTCCTAATTATAATTTACAGTATCTGCAATCCAATCTGCGATGCAGCTACACCCTTGACACCAAGAGCTGTGTAGGATTTCATGGTTGATTTGTATCCTGTTCAATAAGGGGGCAAGTACCTGCCAGCTGGACAGCAGACATGTTTCTGTTATGTTGTGGGTTTTTGCAAATTTTTAGTAAGAGCAATTTCTTATGCCTTATTTGATCATCTGTTATACTAAACATATTAAATCCAAGTTAAACCTGCCCAAACCCCCAAACCTGCATTTCATTTTGAATTGTATATTTAAAAAAGTGAAAAGTATGACTGATAATTATGTTACATGAAATTTATCTTACTAGAATCAGCATATGGTAGTAACTTATAAACATGCACTGCTGTAAGACCGTATTGATTACAATGCCTATTATGTTGTCTCATATTAAAATCACAATATGTAATTCCTGTGTCACAATGATGCTCTCCCCAAGTATAAAAGCCATTAACCGGGCTTGAATGCAAGAAATTCTTCTAAATTTTAAATTAGATTTGCAGGATCAATATTTACTGTTAATTTAACATCAAAGGCAGCTCAGGGAAAGAAGACACGCTGCAACAGCTCCTAGGAGCTTCCCATGTAAAACTCAGAAAACATTAGGCTCTTCTCATGAGAGCTGTCCTATACTGTAACTTGCCAAGACTTGCTGGCTCTGACCAAAGCTCTTTCACTGTCTTAGAGAAAAAAAAAATCTCAACAAAAAAGGCAACCAATGAAATATATACAGAGCTATAGTGTGATATTAAGTTTTTACAGATTTCTGGGAACATACAAAACCAAAATTTTGTCTTTATCTCCTATAATATTTATATTGTATTTCTGGGTTGTCAAATAAAATTTTACAGTAGGAAAGGGAGGAAGACAGAAGGTTGTCTGGTTTGGGAGGAAGATCGAAAACAAGGGTTGATGTGATGACTGGCAGGATGCAGTACTGGAGATATTTTAGTGAGAAGAATTGAGAAATGGTTAGTGTCTGCTGCAAGAAATACCATATCAGCTGCAGCAAAGCATAATCATTAAAGGTCTGTGGAAGTCTGTTCAAGAATAACAGCTTCAATGTGGATGGAGGAAAGACTTGGCAATAGGCGGTAAGGGAATGGGCCTGATGGG